TTAAATTGTATCAGCGATATCAGGAATTTTCTCTCATACAAGGTTTGGAATTTATAATTACATTAGTATATCAACTGTAGTTCACTAGTCTAAGTCCAATCTATGCATTTTCTTTTTCCTCTCTATCAGATTTTCACATCACCATTGTTTCGAACATCTTTTCCAATTACCCCATCCGTTCCTTCTGGTCCTTTCAAACACTGATTGGATATCTTCCTTGAAAGGCTGCTTGATAATCTGCTTAATATAACACCTCCAAAAGCCAACCCCACCCCATCCTCCACCAACCCCCCACCCCGAAAAAAATGCTAAAATTGTGATTGGCTTGTATGGTTTATTACAAAATTATTGTGTCCGTATAGTATTGGATACAACACTCGTGTCAGTATCTGTGCTTCTTAGGTACCTAGCGATGCGTAATTGTGGTTGTGGAGAGTTTATTAGCTAGTGACTCGTTTGTATCATGACTGGAGGCTTTTGTTGAATATTCCATTTGGTTGTCTGGAATATTATACAGGCGGTGGCTTAACAAGAGGAATATCAATGTGGAAAACAAAAAAGTTATACAAGGGAAAGTTGGCTGCATCTATTTTTTTGATAGAAAAATTAGCTCGAAAGTAGAGTTTTGAACTTTAGTATGTTCTGCATTAAAAACATTTGACCAGAAAGTTGGAAGGGCCCACTCTTTTTTGTGTTAAATGAGAAACCAGACTTCTAAAAAGTGAAGTGGTTATATGATATGTTGCTCATATGCACCCAAGACAGTCAGATTTAAGGGCAGAACACAGGTGCTGTGGCATCATCTATGAGCGAGAGGTGGGAAAAAATTATGTTTCTAGTAAAAACCGTATCCAACCATTGAAGGTAACATCACTTTTCTTATTAGTGCACAATGCAATAAATTTTTGCAGATAAAACCTCACCTACCTTGATAAAATGTCACTGGTATTACTTTCAACCTATTTCACAACCTTATAAGGAAAGTAATAAAACAATAAATTGGTGCAGTTTAATTGTCTATAGTTGCCTTATAGGAGGGTTGAGCTATGACTCAGATTGATGTTGAACATAAATTAACTGTACACATTTATTTCCTGAACCATTTATCTTTGTCTTTCAAGTTCAATATATGAGTTGTTTCTTGGTCATGCTAATGTTCGTGGCTAGTTACACGATCAATTATATTGCAGAGTAGGAGTCTTGGTTAAAAGTAAAAATTGTAGAGTATTTTTGTTTGAAGTATATAGAACAGTTGGGCTGTGAACCTAGGAAGGTTAATAATGTGAAAGACATGTTGAGGTTGAAAAGTTAAAAAAAAAAAAGGGCTTATTGCACGAGACTCTTATCATTGTTGGTTCTGGGAGGGTTTGATGTATGCAACCTTGTCTCTACATGCAAGGGTAAATTGTGTTTGAAAAGTGTAAAAAGAAAATGACCAGTGGAGTGGTTATGTTGGGTTTTTACACTTATGATTTACTTGCTTCAATTATGATTCCACATTTATAAGGTTTTGTACTCGTAGAAAGAAGGATTCAATATTGACAGAACTAAGCCTAGACCACGGGGGCCATGGACCCTTCACCTTTTGAAAAATCCCTATAGCAGGGTTTTGAAAATCGGTCGTTACGGCGTGTAACAACCGTTACGTAACGGTAATGTTGAGCTCCGATCCTGTTACACCCTGATATAACGGGTAAAAAAAATTTCACACCTATAATGGCCATTACGGCACCGTAACGGGTTGTAACGGGCGTTATGGGAGCGTTATAGTTCGTTATGCTGTTGTAATGACCTACTTTTTGGCTTCCACGGCTCGTTCATGGAGGTTTTCAAGCCGCAAGAGATGGTCGGAGTATAAAGACGTAGAGCTTAATAATGGAGATGACTGGGTTGAGAAAGGACAGGCTGTCACGGTTGGCAGACTTTTCGGAATGGCAAAAATCAAGTGGATCATTTTCTTCTATAACCAATATAATGAATGGTTGTTAATGCATTATCAATAAATTTAGTGAATAAATAACTGACAAGTGTCAAGTTCTTTAATAATGTGAAGGAGTTGATTCAAATAGAGTAAAAATTTGTAGGTGGTGGGCCCTTCTTGCACAAATTTAATAGCTAATAATTTTTATTGACAATTGCAAAACATTTTTATTTTATCCCAATGATCTAAATCTATCAGTTATTTTGACTACTTCCTATTTTGAATACAATTTTCAAACAATTAGATATTAATTGCTAGGACTAATTTTTTTTCATGTGCCATAAATTTGGATTAATTAAGTAATTTAGCATATCAAAATGATTAATATAATAAAAAATTATTATATATTACAAAAAAATTGAATTTATTTTATTTTGATCCAAATATATAGAATTTTTTATTTTTTGTCCATAGTTGTGAATGTATTAACAAAATTCACGATTAAGATTTTCGTTACTGTTACGTAATGCCCGTTACACTTTGTGTCCGTTACACCATTACCGATACCGTTATACCACCTGTTACCGTTATTTAGAACCATGCCCTATAGTCCCCCATATATTTTCAAAAAAATTATATTATCTCCCTAGGTTTTCAAAAATATCCATACACAAGGACCTCACTAGGTGTATTAGAAAAGATTAGTTACTTGGTATTTAATAACCAAATGGTGGATATAATAATACATTATGAGTGCAACTCTTATACATGAAGAGACTAATTTGGATGATTCTAATGACCAAAGAAAGAAAAACATGTGAAATTTTTACAAAATTAGGTTACAAATGTGACTTATATCAAAAGCGAAGCATTGACTCATGATTCACTTTTGCTATGGTATCGTGTGAAACTATAATTTGCGTGGATAATTTATTTATAATAATTATTTTATATCTTCTATAAGGAAATAAATTGATCGTGACATTCTAACAAACAAATTCCATAGTGGTAGAACTAATTTTCAAGTTTTATGATCAAATTTTTTTTTTTAAGATTGTATTGTATAAAAGTCAATTTTGACAGGTTATGCATAACTAAAAATTTATCATTAACAATAACTCTTCAAATAAACCTGTTTAATAAAATTTTTATATATGCCATTGTTTGCCCCCCTCCCCCACCTCTCAGCATATAATCCTGGTTTCGTCCATGGGACCAATGTAATGAAGACCATGATACGGTTTTGGGAGGAAACCATGTACCAATTGGTTTTACAGGAATGGTTAGTAAAGCTTATTTGATTCTATTATTATGTCTTTTGGCTATTTTAGCTAAGTCTAGATTTAGGTAAGATTTGATTTGCTACCAGTTTTAAGAATAATCAATCCACTAGAGGTGTTGTAGAGGTGAAGTTTGTTTGGGTCTGAGCAATTTACTTGGTGGACCTAGTTATTCTAGTTATATATGCTGCTGCTGCAATACAGATCTCGAGGTGGTTTTGGTGAAATATACTATCAGGTTTACTATCCATTGTGTTTTCTTCTTGGGGTTTGTTTCATGGCTCGTAATTCGCCTTTTTGTAAGTGTTTTGGGCCTTGATCTGAGTCCTTTCAGCTCCACCTTTTATTTTAGCTGTGGGTTTCAAGCCATGCTGCTTCAGAACTCTGGTAAATAGCGGTAATTCAAACATGAACAAGGATATTAAGAGTGATAGCTGGAGTTCCTATTAATGATTGTCAAATCATGTGTTATATCACCATCGTGTTTTGAATTTTAAGTCTTTCCACATTATTCAATGTGAACTTCCTAAATTCATATAAAAAACTGTGGGGAACTCAAATATGATTGGTACGTAATGTATCCAAACTAGAATTTTTTTTGGTATCCTCAATTGAAAATTAGGGTGCTGATAACAAGAATTCCTGTCTTCTAACTTTTGATTGCATGGCATGGAATAACACAGTACTGAAAAAACTATAATTTGAAAAAAAAAAAAAGAAAAAAGAAAAAAGAGAACTTAGTGTTCAAAAGCACTGCAAGGGAGATAGTAGAGGTCAAATTTTCTTTCACTCATGAAGTCTTTCATCATATACGAGTCTTGGCCACTGTAGACATTAACCCTAGATGACTTTTAGAGGTTGTGTAGCATTCTATGTTGAAATTCACGTTAGAAACATATGGAATCTGCTCTGGGAGTGTTGTGCTTAGGTTCAATAGAGGTATCTCTTTTGGGGAAACCTGGATGAGTTGGGGTTTGGATGGCCATAGTGACTTCTTGTCTTGAAAGGGTGGGGGTGACTCTTGTGCTGCTAGATTATTTTTTTCTTTTGATTGGTTGAATGTGCCTGTTGAAATTTATTTGTTGTTGGATTCTGGCCAAGGTGCTAAGGAAGTTTAGCTCATAGTATTACAAATGCTATTTGCAAAAGGGGCTCGATGAGCAAATGAGTCTTGGCCACTGTAGACATTAACCCTAGATGACTTTTAGAGGTTGTGTAGCATTCTATGTTGAAATTCACGTTAGAAACATATGGAATCTGCTCTGGGAGTGTTGTGCTTAGGTTCAATAGAGGTATCTCTTTTGGGGAATCCTGGATGAGTTGGGGTTTGGATGGCCATAGTGACTTCTTGTCTTGAAAGGGTGGGGGTGACTCTTTGCTGCTAGATTCTTTTTTTTTTTGATTGGTTGAATGTGCCTGTTGAAATTTATTTGTTGTTGGATTCTGGCCAAGGTGCTAAGGAAGTTTAGCTCATAGTATTACAAATGCTATTTGCAAAAGGGGCTCGATGAGCCCTACCAACTTGATAGTGACAGATCAGTTGTTTTGTGGACATCATATTATATCAATTATGTCTATTACCCTGCTTTGGAAATATGTATTTGTAAGTTATGGATACTTTCGGGTTGGAAAGCTCATGTGCGATAGCAAAATTAGGTCTTGAGAGTGGAATTTTGTTTTTGTACTAACACTGCCTCCTCAGACGTAAACTGCCTATATGATACATGCTACTGCATTTCTATAATTATTATTTTTTCTGTGGGCTTTTGCCTGAACATAAGTTTTGCGCGTAAACCAGGGATTCTTCTAGACATATTGGTCAACAACATGGGTCAAAGGAATATGGTGTACGCAAATCAGATTATTGACTTGGAAATGGATCAACAAGGCAATGGACATCTTCATCCTGAACCTGGTGTTCTTTATGGGAGCATAGCAAATGTTCTTCCTCCAAATATTCACATGGTGTTACCAGCTCCAGCAAATACAATTAATTGGGATGTCCATCGTCTACCAGCGCATCGTGACAGTGCTTTGTTTTATGGAATGCCGCAGTACAATAATGTTCAGCATCATCAACCTGCCGCCAATCTTGACTTAGCTGTTGCCACGGCATCCAATCACTATGCACCACACATGGATCCTCCGTCTGGCACCAGAGTTTTCCCTATTCCGCTAAATCATGGGTCACATGATCAGTTTCCATTTTCAAGCAATCATGGAATCATTGGAGTCTCTGCAGACAGCTATGGAAGGAATAGTCACTTTGTGGATGGTCTCAGAGGTTCCTTTAAGAGAAAGAATGCTGAAGGCATCCCTGGGAATTTTCAGTTTCGTAATGCTTCAGCAGGCTCTAGTTCTGCAGTTGCCCCAATGAATGCAAGGCCTCTTGAATCTGATGTTACCTTGATGGATGCAGCATCTTTTGCACTCCCGGAGTACGGAGAGAATGACATGTCATCGGCCATAGAAGTTGGATCCCACAGAAGTTTGAGAAATAGATCTGTTGCTACTGGTCTTGATTCTGTGATGGCACATACTACTAACCACATTATTCAAGGAAACTATCAGGGTCAACCGTTTCAGACTGCACACACTCCTTGGGTGGACCCACAGTTTGGCCGTAATGGAGGTGATAGTGGAACTTTTACCTGGAGTCAGGCACCTACTTTACCCTATTTGCATGGTAATTTTATCCCCTCTTAGATTATTAATTTCATTAATATGGGTTAGTTTCTTCCATTTTTTTTTCCTATCATGTACTACTTTTGATTACAAGTCTCCCTGATGGCTGCTAAATTTCTAGGAACCTGTAGTTCTATCCCCTTTGTGTCATGTTCATTTTTTGTTTCAAAATTGGGTGGGAATTTTGCTGCTCTTTTCATGGATGATAGTATAATGACGTATATAACCATGTTTGGATGGTAATGTTAGTGATATTGCCAGTTTCCAAGCAAAATATGAACTCTAGACTGGGGAAACTAGTTATGTCCCATTCTGAGTTAGTAGTATGGATAAAATTTCTAAAGATATTGACATGGTGAACTAATCGCAAATCTGTCAACCTCTCTCTCTCTTTCTCTCTCTCAGTTTATTTTGGGGACATTAATGCAGGTTGTATGGAGGCTGGCAACATGAATGTACATGGATATCAAGTCACAGCTAGCCATAGAAGTTCCACACGTTTTCTGCATCCTCCTCCCATCCCCCAAGGGCACCGCAATCTTCATCATTTACCCCCACCTATGCATAGGTTGAGAGGCCACAACATTGACTCCAATTCTCAGGTGGCAACATCCTCACGCAGACTTTCAACAATTACCACCTCACACACCAGTGTGAATCCTTTCCAGGATGGTGTAGAGGCAGGACCTGGAATTGTTGGATCTGTTCCACCAACTGGCTTTAGGATATACCAGCCTCATCGAATGGAAGCCATGCCCGAGGCAAATTCAAGGCTGCGTATCCATCCTCACTTGAGAATTCTGCCTGAAGATGTAACACTTTCCTCAGATTCAAACAATTTCCTTTTATTTCTGTCATATGTGATGATTTTGTTTGATATGAATCCTATGGTATGCTAGTAATTATTGACTCTCTGTATTCTGGGTTGAGGTGTGTAGGGTGTTGCCATGCTAGAAATTCCAGGCTATTATGAAGTAGGGGATTTCATTGATCATCACAGAGATATGCGTTTGGATATAGACCACATGTCTTATGAGGTAAATGGAGGAAGTCCATTGGCTTGTTCTTACCATGAGAATACCTTGATAGTCAATGCAGAGAACATCAGTCAATACATGATATCTAGTCCCCCCCCCCCTTCCCCCCCACAAACAACAGGAAAAACCCCCTCTTTACTTTTCTTTTACTTTTCCTACTGGATGAGGACTTATCTGGATGTATTGGAGCTGTTCATGGATGCAAACCTTTTGCATCATTTTTAATTCATATTTGGATGAATAAGATCTTGATTATTAAAGTCCTAACCTTTTAATGCCAGGAGCTTCTTGCATTGGGAGAACGAATTGGCACTGTAGGTACTGGGCTAGTGGAGGAAACAATTACTAGTTATCTGAAGACAAGAACATTCAGTTCATCCAAAACTTGTTCCAAACAAGAACAGGCAGCACATGGGGATCAGGAAATTGATTTTTGCGTGATTTGTCAGGTATTGTTATCATTTGACTATATTTCTTGGGGTGGCTATTTGAATTTGTTTTTAATTTCGGGGTATATTCCAGGTTATCATCTGAGCAAAGTCACAACCTTTTCGCAATGATTACTGACTTGGTGTTTAGAAGTTTCATTTTTTGAGTCTGTAACATGTACTGTTACTCTGCTTTATTCTTCATTTAGCATGCTTGTCTTCTAGTAACACGATTTTTAACCTTCTGAGTTGCAGGCAGAATTTCTTGCTGTCATTGTTATTGTCTTCCAAATCTTCCAAATTAATTTCCCTTTTCTGGATTTTGGCTTCCAAAATGCTAAGAAAGAATTTCTTTTTGGTCCTAGAGTTTTTACAGAGTATGGAGTCGATGCCATGGTTATTGTCTTTAAGTTGTATAAAAAACACCCATCTGTGCTTCCCTCCCTTCTATTGTTTCCTCTATTCTTTGTTTGTTTTATATTTGTTGCGAGTGTTGTCAGATTTATGTTCTGGGACAAACCTCAAATCCGTGCTTAAAACTAACTAATTATACTTTTTAGTGCATGATGACATTTTTAATGGTCATTTGGATTGTACAGGCCAACTTTATGGATCGAGAAAGAATTGGAACTCTGGATTGTGGGCATGAGTATCATTTAGATTGCATTAAAAGGTGGCTGCATGTGAAGAATACCTGCCCCATCTGCAAATCCTCAGCAGTGACGACAGAAAGGAAGCATTAGTGAAAGGCGTGACAATGTGAAGTTCAATCCAAATAACTTCCCCCGTGTTTCGTTTCTTATTATTCTTATTTAAGAGGGGATTTTTTTTGTGGATTTTATGTATGTATATACTTGCACAGATATAATTAACTGTCTATATTTCTCCATGCACATTCATTTGTTGGCCTCCTGCCTATCTTTTAAGCTGTACAGACTTTCTTATTTGCTTCTCTGTCATCAGGATTGCTGTATTAACTTCTAGTTTATACAGTGAATGTTGAATATAACACTATTTAATGTGAAAATTCACCAATTCTTTTTAGTTAATATTGATTCTAGGGGCCTTTAAATTTGTTGGGTTCACTCTTTTTATGCTAGTGAAGTTTCCTGGAGCATAGGAAAGCCTTCCGCTGTAGATGAAAGTTCTTTTTCCATTAGCTCTCCTTTCACACCAAGCTCCACAACCAGAGTTCTTGCAGCAATCAGTTGTTGATATAACAAAGAGCCCTACGTTCCAGTGCGTCGGGTTTTGGAATTCTCTCAGATTTCTTCATTTAAGAAGAGAAACAAAGATGGGCCAAATATTTACAAGCATCAGAATGCAAAATAACGCATGAAATAGTGGGGAGTTGAAAAGTTTTCCGATCATGTTTTAATGAGGAAAATAGATAGAAACCCAGCCTGGGTAGCTGTTACTTGATAGTTTGAGAAGATGGATATATCTCAACCATCTTCTCGGTCAAGGCCATCAATCAGCCGAAGATCAAGCCTCGAGTTTGAAAAATATTATTTGGACCTAATCAGGAGGCCTAATTCAGTGTATTGAATTGAAAGAGAGTTCCACCTAACAATTAATTCAATGACTACACTGAATTAGATTCTGGATTACGTCCCTATAATATTACTCCTTTTCCTTGAGTTTTGGAAGAGGTCTGGTCATGAAGGCTGTGAATGCGTTTAACTCTTGCAAGGGTGGGTTTTAGGATTAAGGTTTAGCAAGCTGAGCTATGGATAAGGGCTTTTGAGAGCTATAGTGTTTGAATGCCAAGATTGCCTTCATTACTAATAGCTATTGTCTCGTGCGGTGCACAGAATTTTCATAGCTCTTTCACTGTCACCCATAATTCCAACCCACCCAACTCCACCGTCACCGCCACCCCTACCCCAACCCCATCCTAACATTATTAGAAAGAATAATGAATGTTTTGAAACAAATTAAAAGTGAAGTAGTTAATAAAAGATTGAAAAATTAAAATGTGAGATAGTCATCCAAAAGAGAAGTGGTTACATAGGTCATGTCAAATAATTCAATTGGAAGAGACTGATGCATTGCTATTAAATAATTTAAAATCAGGAGCAAATGAAATTTAGGGAGGAAAAAATTCTCAAACACTATCTCTCCTATATTGATTCTTATTGTATAGAGTATATATAATGGAATTGGCCTGAATTTTTGATAAGAAAATCCTGTGGGAAGTCATGATTTGAACGGTTCAATTATCTTCTTCATTGTGCTCATTCTCCAATTTATCATCTCTGAGAGAGGGCATAAGAAACTGAACTGCCAATGGCAGGAAAATATGATCATTGATCATGTGGCAGGCTTAAGATGATGCAATGCTTTGCATTTTTTTTTCTTTTTTTCAGAGAACTTAGTTTCTTAACAACAAAATCACATTATTAATGAAAAAAATCCACCCTTATAACACAACATTGAACTAATCACTGCAGTTAATAGTTCCACGACACTAATATGGTGCATCAAATACAACACAAACTACTGCAGTTAATAAATGAAACAATTCATATGAAGAAGACTTGAGTAAATACTAAGAAACTCACTGCAATCTATATGGAAAGAATCTCCAGGCCGCAGCTCAGTACAGATTTCAAACTGACGGGCAACCTCAGATAAGCTTGTGCCCGTACCCATACTCGTACTCATGCTCGTGAGATAAGCTCAGATAGGAGTCCTAAAGATAAGCTCAGATAAGGGTTCTTAAGTTTAGGCAAAGAACGTCTTGTTGGTTAGGCAGAACAGCAACCAACTTTTTTAACAGCAGAAACATCGTCCTTGCTTCCAACGTTGATGGTTTGCCCTTTAGGCAAGCCAGCAGGATCATCTCCAATATCAAGTGCTTTCCGGCTGACCACATGATATATTTGTGTGAGCGCCTCTGTGAATGCATTCTCAACATTCAGCGACTCGAGTGCAGATGTCTCCATGAAAAAAGTGTTCTCTCTCTCAGCAAAGGCCTTTGCATCCTCAGTGGAAACTGCACGCAAGTGACGTAAATCGGCCTTGTTCCCTACAAGCATTATCACAATATTGGAGTCTGTGTGATCTCGAAGTTCTTTTAACCATCTCTCAACATTCTCAAAAGTAACATGTCGGGTGACATCATAAACAAGCAATGCACCAACAGCCCCTCGGTAGTATGCACTTGTGATTGCACGGTATCTTAGGAAAAGCAAACAAGGTAATTATTTCCCAAAGGATTAACTTATAAATTAAAGTATGCATGTAAAAATAATGGTCAAAAGAAATAGCTCAGACATTTTATATTCACAAAATCTTGATGAAAGCTATGCACGACGAAGACAGAAGAATTCATTAGATACAACTGTATATGTCTATCAGATCACAACACCACATTGTCTTCCCACTTGTACGGTGATGTTCTTAGACTTCAAATACCAAGGGCTAACAATGAGAGAGAGAGAGAGAGAGAGAGAGAGAGAGCTAAAATATTAAATCCAGGAAATATAATGTCAAATAACCAAACAAATTGCCATTCTACACATGGAACTTACAGGAGGTCATGTCTGACTATGCTCTCATACAAAATTGTAATACAATATAATAGTAAGACAAAAAAAAGCTCCAGATTTGCCAAAAGCTGCACCTTTGGAGACTGTTTCATAGAAAAGAATTGTGAATCCCTACATCAATTAGATTTTGTCAGGAAATTCATGGATATGCACAAAGCACCACTGTTGAAATAGATGGAAACGAGATTGGACCTCATGGTCACAACAAGCAGAGGGCCCTATGGAATGCATAAGACTCTAGGATAAACTCTGTTTTGATACCATTAACAAAAAACCAATGTCAATGTCAGCCATTATTTTATCTCAACTGTCTGGAAGGAACATACATCTTCAGCCATTTTTGCTAAATGAAAAGCCATTTACAGTTGCTTATATCAATTTGCAAAGCATCGACAACTCTCAAGCCAAAGGTCTTAACAACAAAACAGATTGGAACAACACATCCGAGTGGATTTCCACCAAAAAGTCTATGATATTTTTCCTTCAGAAGATTTTAAGATTTTTTCCTTTCAGATATGGCAAGTGGTTTAAGGGGCATCATCAAGTCTAAATGTGTGGTACTGGTTCCTAAAGATTTCTTCCTGAAAATCAAATTTCATATAATTCAAAATTCTCCAGCAATGGTGACAATAGGAGGAGCGTCAATAGGTCTACTAAGACTACTAAATGCAGAAACTATTCGAAGGAGAAAAACTTGAAGAGCTTTAGATTTTTGGTTCCATGGTGAATATTTCAACATTACTACAGGCTTCACAATTCCTTCTTTAAAAGAAGAGCTCCGAATCATAATGAGAATGTTCAATACTACTAAATAAATGAAGTGAAGCAAACATCATTTTCAACATACATAAAATAGAAAACTCTACTTATTTGAGAATGAATTCCCATTTTAAGCTCTACCAGTGTCATTACAAAGACTAAAAGGCAATCAGTGTTGTATCTGGCTACCTCAAAATCTTGTAGCTGCATGCAAAATCCCAGCCACCGCATGAATAATAAGAGAAGCAGATCCTCCATACACAGTACACATCAAATCTAAGTCCAAAGATATTATGAACAAACCAATCCAATTCTCACGTGCAATATCTTATATTTACAAACCACTCTCGATCAGAAAACCCTAGCATTGATGACTACTGTTTATCCCAGAAAACATAATCAAATCAAATTTTCAAATCTCATACGATGGAAATGCACACATTTTCTTCGTAACCGAGAAGAAAATTACCAAAATTCAAAATCAGCCAAACCGAGAGAGAGAGAGAGAGAGAGAGAGAGAGAGAGAGAGAGAGAGAGAGAGAGAGAGAGAGAGAGAGAGAGTGAGAATAGAACCTCTCTTGGCCAGCAGTGTCCCAAATCTGGGCCTTGACGATCTTGTCATCAACACGAATACTCCTGGTCGCGAATTCAACGCCTATTGTGGATTTGGATTCGAGGTTGAACTCGTTCTTGGTGAACCTCGAGAGCAGATTTGATTTGCCCACACCAGAGTCTCCGATCAAGACCACCTTGAACAGATAATCGTAATCATCGTCGGCTCTGTACGCCGCCATTTCTGTCAATCCAAACCCTTTCTCTCTATCTGTATAAGGAAATTCTTTGAATTTCACAGATCAAATTTGAAGAACTATACGTATATATATATATATATGGATTTTCCTATTATAGGTATATAAACTAATCGCATAGATATCTATCGGTTTCACAGAGAAGATAGAGAGAGAGAGAGATGTAAAGGGTTGAAGGTTCAAGAAATTGGAGCTGGGGAAAGAGCTGTTTAGATAGAGAGAGAAGGAAAACGAGCGACCAGAGCTTTTAAGATAAATTACACTTCGACCCCATCAGTTATGCTTCATGTCTCGTGTTATCCCATTAACTATTGAATTGCTGACAATAAAGTGGTATGTCGTGTCATCATGTGCCCTTTTTTTTTTTTGGTTGACCAGCATCACGTGCCGTTTATACTATGACAAAGGGCTATTTGAAATTAAAACACGCTTGTTAAAAAAAAAAACCTGAAAACACTTTTTTTTTTTTTGGGGATGGGGACGGGGCTTGATCAACCCTTGATCTCAAGAAGATAATTCTTTTAAAAAGCAAAGAGTATCAATGGACTAAAGAGTTATTGATATGAAAACACTACTTATAAAAAAAAATTAAATTAAATTGAACACTGATTTTATTTATTAACTTAATCAATTAAGTATTAAATTAATAATACATTTAAAAAATATTAAAACTCATAATTAAATCTATAGCAGTAATTAATTAAATGTATAATTCAAATCTAAATAACATTGCTATTAAATTATATTGTGCTCAAATCTACTCATTTATATTTTTAGTTGGGTTTATGTCGTATTACATTTGCATCATGTGTAAGTCGAATTTATTAGGTTTGTATTACATTTAAAAATTATTTATTTGATAAATTTAGCAGGTCCACCTATTTATTAACTCAAAT